GGGGAGGGAGAGAAGAGTGGGGGGAGGGGGAGGGAAATGGGAGGCTGGGAGGAGGAGGAAACTTTTTTTTTCCTATTCTCAATAAAAAAAAAAAAGAAAGAAAACTGTGATAGTGAAGAGAAGTCACACCAAAGAGCTAAACAGTCAAAGGGAAAATTTTCTTTCTGATCTTCATTTCTTTAAACCGGAACTGTGATCCAAAATGTTTTAGGAACATTCTTATCAGTTTTAATCAAAGTCTATCTTTTATTAAAGATATTTCTGCCCCCCCTCCCGCCCGCACACACTGTGTCCTGTTCTGTGATAAACAGAGCATCAGTTAGTGAATTTGTATTCTTTTTTAATTTAATTATTTTACTTGCTTATTTAATGTGCATGATGTTTTGCCTGCATTTATGCCTACATGCCACATGTATGCCAGTGACCATGGAAGTCAGAAGAGAGCATCAGATTCCCTTAGATACAGAGGTTATGAGCTGTCAGGAATTGAACTCAGATCCTCTAGAAGAACAGGAAGTACTCTAACCATTTAATTATATTCTAGTATCACAAGGGATTATCCTTGTGATAACTTCCCTGGGAGAACACGGGTTTAGAGTTTAAACATTTTCAAAGGTTTATAGACATATGAGGATTTTGTCTAATGTGGAGCTATAGAAAGGCACTTTCCATTCTCTATTTTCCAGGTCAACTCAGTTAATGGACAACAAAACTCTTAAGGAGTGCAGTCCTCCAGAAACTTCTGTAAAAAGAAAGACCTGAGAATTCCTCTGTTTGTCAGCCGTCACAAAGACTTCTCTTGATTTTCAAAAATAGGGTTTGCAGATTATTTCATGTATAAAAGTAAATTTAGAAAGGAAAGAAACTGACCTGACAAGCTCTTCTCTCTTGTAGCTCAGAATTCTGCTTCATTTTTATTTTCTTCTGCCTTTTAACAATTAACTATCAGTCTAAAAAGATTTATATACCATAATTTGGAGATTTTGCAAATTGTTTTTAATATGATAAACATCTTTTTGACTCTATAAATGGACCCTGAGGCTAGTGAGTATTCAGATCACAGCCATCTTCTGCTGGATGTCTTAGTAAGAGAAGAAAAGAAAATTAAAAAAAAAAACTCTAATTTTATTAGCTATGCAATTCTTGGGAAAGACTGAGAAAGGAGAGCAGGAAAATCAGGGATTAAAAAGTATATACAAGGGTTATATCACCAACTTCACTGGACCTTG